CACAAAGTCTTAAAAACAACTTATAATACATTAAGTACTACTACTTTATGCATTTAATCTTAAAATCTCCTAATCTACAATTAAAATAACATATAGTACAAGTTACCAATGCACATTAATATCTTTTCTTTTCATGTTCCCAATATGTTTTTGACACCTTTCACTCATGTCTTCACCCTCTCATACCTCTATGTCTTCTCTCCATCCCCTGAGGTGATATTCAAACTAATATTCATCATGAGTTATTAAAAGTTCTTTCATTCATTTATCATTCAATTGCTCTCATACGTCTATGTTTTATCCCCATCCCCCAAAGTGAGATTCAAACTAATATTCATCATGATTTATTAAAAGTTTTTTCATTCATTTCTTATTCAATTGTTCTAGAACTCTCGGTCTCGCTCTCGATCTCTTGATTTTTTGCTCTTGTTGTAAATCGAACACATTTGTGGAGTCATTTAAATATGTTGGATTTTAAATTGTTATACAATTTTTTTCATCGATAGATTATAATTGGAATCATAACTCTTATTTATTCAAATTGTATTAATATGTAAAGACCAAGTGTAACTTATATTATCGTTAAATCTTCTCTAATAAAATCAGTGAAACTTCAAAATCGTTAAAATTCACAGCTCCCATCACATTGCACGGGTATACAACTAGTTATTCAATATATAAAAAATCAACAAAACCTCTATTTTTTATTTACTGAGGTCGGTTTGAAAAAGACCCTGAGATGGGCTAATTAATGGGCCTTGGGCCAACCATTCAATCGTAAACCCTAAAAGCATCAGGGTACAAATACAAGTTTAGAACAGCTTACGATTAGGGTTTATCAAATTCAGGATTTGTGAAACAAAAAGGATTGAAGATGTTTCCAGGGATGTTCATGCGAAAACCAGACAAACAGGTTGCTCTGAAACAGCTCCGGGTCCATGTCGCCATGTTCGGGTCATGGGTCGTCGCGATTCGAGTTGCACCCTACCTTCTCCATTACTTCTCCGATAACAACGACGAACTCGTCCTTGATTTCTAACTTTGTTTCTCCAGTTGCTGTTACCAGGTAAACATCGATTGAATTACCCAATTTGTATGTTGATTTACAGTGATTTCGCGTATTTTGTAATAATCAATACATGACGATTTATATCATTCTATGCCTTGAAGATACGTTTTAAACATCTGATCTAAGCATTTTATTCTGTACCTCAAGTCCTGATCCGTTTGATTCGATGCGAGAGTTAGAAAGTGGTGATTCGGCATAGTGCGTGCTTAGATCATCCATTCTCAAATATCAAATGTGATGAATCATCATCGTCGTGTTTGGAAATTGGGGATATTAGGGTTCAGTTTGCTGCGT